AAGGAGAATTTAACTACCATGTATATATTGTCGTGAAGGGTTGATTAGTGGGGAGAATGTAACTACTACATCCAACGCAGTAATAGTTTTTGTAATTACACATAAGGAGAATGAGATATTCGTCTATATAAATTATACAAACAAAGAAAAGAACTAAACATGTTCATGGTTATGAACTTCGTCTGCTGACAGTCGCTATTGTAGCCACAAATAATAAAGTAAACGACAACAGAAAGACACTGTCGGAATGAAACAGACTTCATTACTCACACATCACCACAACTTCGACAGACAGAACGTCCTTAAGACCGATGCCATTGTAAGCATTACATTCATAGATGCCGGCCACGTCTCGGGTCACTTTGATCAGTTCTAAGAACGATCTCCCCAACACGAGAGATTTGCTGGGTAGCACAGCTTGCGATCCTTTTTTTTTCCACGATATTGATCCGTAAGTTATGGGATTAGCGTCTATCCAACATCCTAGCGTGACATTCTCTCCTTCTACAGCCATCTGATTTTCCGTGAGATTAAGAATTGTAGCCGGATCTGAAACGTGTTTACATAAAATAACTCTCTTGTACCGAACAACGTCACCCTTAGAAACATATGAATTACAGAAAGTGAAGAAAGAATAATTGAATTGAAGGTTTATTATAGATTACAGAAAGGGAAGAAAGAATAATTGAATTGAAGGTTTATTATAAATTACAGAAAGGAAAGAAAGAATAATTGAATTGAAGGTTTATTATAGATTACAGAAAGGAAAGAAAAAATAATGAAATTGAAGGTTTATTATAGATTACAGAAAGGGAGGAAAAAATAATTGAATTCAAGGTTTATTATAAATTACAGAAAGGGAAGAAAGAATAATTGAATTGAAGGTTTATTATAAATTACAGAAAGGAAAGAAAGAATAATTGAATTGAAGGTTTATTATAGATTACAGAAAGGAAAGAAAGAATAATGGAATTGAAGGTTTATTATACATTACAGAAAGGGAAGAAATAATAATTGAATTGAAGGTTTATTATAGATTACAGAAAAGGAAGAAAGAATAATTGAATTGAAGGTTTATTATAGATTACAGAAAGGGAAAGAAAGAATAATTGAATTGAAGGTTTATTATAGATTACAGAAAGGAAAGAAAGAATAATGGAATTGAAGGTTTATTATACATTACAGAAAGGGAAGAAATAATAATTGAATTGAAGGTTTATTATAAATTACAGAAAGGAAAGAAAGAATAATGGAATTCAAGGTTTATCATAGATTACAGAAAGGGAAGAAAAATAATAAATACCACTTTAGAAACATAAACATCACTTGAATAAAATATCGTTTACTTCTACACTTGAGAAACAAACGTAACTTTTCTAATTCGTTAAAGACAAAGTATAAAGATATTGTTTCAGTAGAACTTTAGGCAGGTTAGACATTGTAGGTTTGGTATCTTTAAGGGACTATAAGTGCCCGTTGAAGGAAAAGGAGACGACGTTTCGGTTTCTATACAAAGGCCTCGGTACAAAAGCTGAAACGTCCTCTCTTTTTCCTATAACCAACTCTAATTACAAGGTTATTTATTAATTAATATTTAAGGAACGATAAAACGACAAATTATTGTAGAAAAGTAATTGAGCCATATTAAATTCCTACACAAAACATTTAACTCTACTGTCGCGTTCGATGATCCTTCTGAATTCTCAGCAACACAGTGCAAGTTCCCAGAATCCTTCCGACTCACGTCTCTGAGAAGGAGCACCGGACCTTCTGCATTAATTCGTGGATTCACAGTGTGACCGGTTACCACTTCCTGGACAAGAGTAATTGGAACACCAGCACGACTCCAGTAGTACCTAACTGTACCAGGATTACTTTTAGCTGACATATTGACAGTAACTGACTCGCCTTCCAATACAACAACGTTCTTCAACGACTCCATGAATTCCGGTTTGTCTAAAGAAAGAAACGGGCTATTGATGCCTTGTCTATATGTTATAATAACAGTTAGAATTATTTTTAAACATCTAGTAAAAACCTACCGTCATGTTATCTCTTCGTAACATTGAGTCTGATGGGTAGTAATCATGAAGTTTCAATCATTTGTGGTCCACCGAAAATTAATGATGTATTTGTACTTTTTACAGTAAAGCATGTCAAAGCTGTTTGTTTTTGCAATATAAAATAATTTAGTGTACAGGAAGCTAGAAAATACGAACTAGATATTCTGTCGCTCTTTCATACTTGTACACTTACTTCACAAGCTATTCTGTCGCCTTTCATACTTGTACACTTACTTCACTAGATGTTCTGTCGCCCTTTCATACTTGTACACTTACTTCACTAGATATTCTGTCGCCCTTTCATACCTTTACACTTACTTCACTAGATATTCTGTCGCCCTTTCATACTTGTACACTTACTTCACTAGATATTCTGTCGCCCTTTCATACCTTTACACTTACTTCACTAGATATTCTGTCGCCCTTTCATACTTGTACACTTACTTCACAAGCTATTCTGTCGCCCTTTCACACTTGCAAACTTACTTCACTAGATATTCTGTCGCCCTTTCATACTTGTACACTTACTTACTAGATATTCTGTCGCCCTTTCATACCTGTACACTTACTTCACTAGATATTCTGTCGCCCTTTCATACCTGTACACTTACTTCACTGTACGATTTTAAAGCAAGACTTAAATAGCAGGATACAAGGAAGAGACCGTTTTACTGATGTAGTTTAGTTTTAATATCATTATTGTTGTTTACTTGTTTTTATATGAGATTACTAAGTCTCTTGGTCAGAACTAGTGTAGTGGTAAGTTATCGTGTATAGCTGTGATTTTCTCTGGTCTAACACTCAGGGTACGAATATCGACAATGTTATTGATAATTATTCATTTTCCAAATACTGTATACCTCATTAAAGGAACGTCCATTCCATTAAGAGCTCATTTACTTATATTGGTTTCATTTCTTAGTAAAGACAACTTTTAAATACACACTGAACTTGTCCACCCCATATTTCATCAGTTGAGGGAAAAAAAAAAGCTCGTATATTGTGACATATATTATTGTCATATAGCTGGTAACTACTAATAGGAGATATTACATATACCAACATAGAACCGACAGAACGAAGTCGTCCCTTGGAGCACTGTTAGTGACGCCGTTGGAGGCGAAGCATGTGAAAACAGCCCCATCATCCTTCGGAGTAGCCCACAGTTTCAGAGAGCTGGTGGTTGAATACCCTTCAAAGTCCGAACTGACAATCTGAACACGATCCGATATCACCTCGTGACCGTTCTTCCACCAGGAGACTCGTGATTCTGGATTGCTACTGTCAGTAGAACAACTGACAGTTACCTGAAGAAGACAGCTGGATTATGGTTCGTCAGCGGGCTTTATCAAGAACATCAACTGAACTTGTTTATCCTAACGTTACAATCATACTAGAAACAATGTTTTAAAACGTTGTTTTAGATATTCGATCAAATATCAACATTTTTGGTGTAGTTTATACAATGCTAATGTTAAAAGCTTTAAATCCGTGGTTCAATTCCTTGAATTAAGTTTTAAAATGTCCACAAAAATATTATGTCGTATGGAAATAACTGTGTTCCAGTTTTCGACTCATTACTTCACATTTACTGCTTAAGAATTGTCAGTATATATATATATAAGTATATATTTTCAAGCACAAACTACATGGCTAATGATATCACTTTACCTAATACAAATACTCAACCTTTTCACAATTTCTAGAAGTTATTGACACCAACATCTATTGTAGACGAAGTTGAAAACAGCATTTTATGGAACCAATCAAACACTTGGAGATGGGTTAGAGACCAACCACGCTTCATTGACCATCACTTCTCATTAAACGTAGTGACCATACTTGTTATTAAACACAGTGACCGTACTTGTTATTAAACATAGTGACCGTACTTGTTATTAAACATAGTGACCATATTTGTTATTAAACATACTGACCATACTTGTTATTAAACATAGTGACCGTACTTGTTATTAAACATACTGACCATACTTGTTATTAAACATAGTGACCGTACTTGTTATTAAACAAAGTGACTATAACTGTTATTGAATATACTGACCATACTTGTTATTAAACATAGTGACCGTACTTGTTATTAAACATAGTGACCATACTTGTTATTAAACATACTGACCATACTTGTTATCAAACATACTGACCATACTTGTTATTAAATATACTGACCATACTTGTTATTAAACATAGTGACCGTACTTGTTATTAAACATACTGACCATACTTGTTATTAAACATACTGATCATACTTGTTATTAAACATAGTGACCGTAGTTGTTATTAAACATAGTGACCGTACTTGTTATTAAACATACTGACCATACTTGTTATTAAACATACTGACCATACTTGTTATTAAACATACTGACCATACTTG